CTGGGAACGTGACATTTAGTATATGGTCTGTAAGGGAAAAAGACTTTCTTTCCGTGAAGTGAAGACTTGCATAGACTAATGATAACCATAAGAAAGAAAGGGCGCTTGAATACTTAGTTTACTGAAATTAACGATTCTAACAAAGATATTACGCAATTAACAGCCTTAAACCTACGTGAATTACCGTGCCCTTTAAGCCAAAAAGACTTGTTCAGGTCTTAATTGACTTGACCTATTAGTGCCTTACCAACTGCTTGTCTCACAATGTTGGATCATTTCATCATCTTCGGACACCAATTGCACGTAATTGTAAATTATTTGGGTGGGGGCCAAAAAAGCTTTCAAAGTAAAATTTTCAGCATTGTTAATCTTTCAAAGAATTCTATCAGCTTCAAAAGCATTCCGTTGAAAAACGTTTGTTTTTTTTATATTATTTCAATCAAATTAAAATAGTGGAATAAGATTCATGTGGCTGACACCAAATATTTGAGATAAGACTCACATGACCATAATGATATTATTTTTTTAAAATCTCTCGATACCATGCAAGCTTACAATTAGAAGCTTTTATTCCAATATTACGCTTGATTGTGAATGAGTAGTAATCATCCCAAATAATCTTTTTTTTTGTTATCTCAGTAAATGAGTGTAAGAAGAAGAACACATATATTGTGCTCACATAGGAGCATACTATGTATCTACTCCCTCAGGCAGATGACCTTGTTAGAGGATTTTTTTTCAATCTTATATTTTAGGAACCACCAAAGAATCACTAGATGATTGTTTTCAAAAGAGAAAAAATTAAAAACCATGTTTTCTGACACTTAGACCTTAAAAAAATTGGACAACCACCATTCAATCTTGAGACATCAATCTTTTTCAAGTGCATAGAAAATGGCATTTATAACCTTTTATTTTTATTTTTATTGTTTATTTTTTTATTTTTATTGATGTTAGACTATGGATTGGAGTTGTTACATCCACAAAATTTTAGGTCCTAAAATTGCTCCTAGATTGGGTTTTACTTGGGTGAGTAAATAAATAATATTCTTCGGCAAGAGCATAAAATCCGGGCTAAAAAGAAAACAAGTCCCACCTCGTAATGTTGCGAGAGATGATATATAGTCTGTATTACAGCATGCATTATATAGTCCATGGTAATCTTCAGCATCTTTCTGTGACTGACTTGGGGGAGTCGAGAGCAATGCGAATCCGGATCAAGAAATCCCCGAATTGCCAAAAGTTTTATGATTTCTTGTAGTGCTGAAATTTTTTTAAGTGTCGTGTATTGTGTTACATAGACATGAACACATGTTTATTTATGATACGGATACTAGTGTCAGAAATCTGCAACCCCAAAAGTAACCTCTATATACGACACATTCATACAATATACAAATATATATATATATGTATATATAGATATATATATATATATATATATGTGTGTGTGTGTGTGTAGTTATCTATATTTACATATACAACAACTCATACAACAATAGTGAAATATCTAAAACATAAAAAAAATTAAATTAATAATCCAAGATGAGACCAATGTTCATAAAACCAGGCGATCTAACTACTAACTCTCTTGTTAGATCGGAACTGGCCGTTTTCAGTGGTTTTGGTGATCAACGGGTATTTTAAAAAAAAATAAAAAAAATGTATATAAATTCTCAAAAATAAGGAATTTGATTTGTAATGTATTTTTTAATACTATTTACATTATGGTCAAGATTAAAATTTTTTTTGGTCATTAATACTCACTTTTATATTTTCCCATAATTTTCAAAAAGTTTTAAAAATACGCCTAGGCCCAAATTGATTAGTTAAAATCCATTTTTTCATTATTTTTCAGCTTCATTTGAATGTATTTTGTTTTAATCATTCTTTTTATGATTTTCATATTTTAGTAGAATATTTTTGTATCTTTTTAAACACTTTTTTGACTGCCTAGGACTTGCCCGGTTAGAGTGGTTGAATCGACCGATTTAACGGTTAGGCCAGTTAAACCGCTTCTGAACCCATGTCCAATTAACTGTTCCAGTTCAATTTTGTGAACACTGGTTGAGACAAAGATAAGTTTTACACTTTGTATGACAAAAGTACAACAAGGTTTAAATTCTATCAAATACTAGTACAACACGTTCTATGACAAGAATATTACAAAATTTAAAGAATATCAAATATTAGTACAAGCTTTCAAAATTATGAAAAGTCAATTACTAGGACAAAGCTACGTACAATACAATTCATGCTATTAATAATAAGAAAAATAGAACAATAAAGATCATACATAGCACAAGGCACAATGAGAATAGAAGAGAGAAAAATTGAAGAAGAGAGATGAAGATCCAGTGGTCCATAGCTTAGAGAGGGAGAAACCATTGGTCCACATGGCTTAGAGAGGGAGAAACCAATGATCCATAGGCTGCAAAGCGAGAAACTGATTAGGGAGGGAGAAACCCTAGAAAGATCATGGTAGTTGAAATAAATCATATTTTTTATTTCCAATAACAATGCCTATAGAAACCCTAATTTAACAAATATTTTTTTTAAATTTTTTTATTCTAAACTACTTATTTTATTCTAAAATATTAGTTAATTTTAAAATAAAATACTCTTCAATAAAGAATAATGTTTCTCAAAAAGGAGATCTCACTTCAAAAAAATAAACGTGTTTAAAAAAAGGCATGGAAGTGGACACTTAATAGATGTGTCGTATGCGTATCCACGGGTCCACCATGTATCAACACATGGTCAAACCCTAAATCATGCATGTCTATGTTTCATAGGCCCTATGCAACTCAGACTTGCCGAATCAAGTTGCAGCTACTCGGCCCAAGTGAGCTAGAACTCCAACATAACGAGTTATTTTATAAAAAAGCCAAGGATATCCCTTATGGCATGATGTTTATAAATTTAAACGAAAAGTATATAGTGAGTCAGCCAACTCATTAAATAACATGCATCCTCCCTCCAAAATTCTATCTTATGGTGGATTCCGTATTCAGAATTCTCAACAATGATGATGATCATGAATCGTGATTTTTTGCTTGAAACCATCTATCTTTTTTGCTGGAAACCATCCATATTTGGCGTTCATCTTAGAGATGGATGTTTGATGCGTGAGGAGATACATAACCAAAACCGGATCCAAATTTAAAACTATTTTGATGTAATTTCTATTCTTTTGAAAACTATTAACTATTTCTAACTTTTTTTTTGGTTTTTTTTTTGGGGGAGGTGGGATTTTGAACATTTCCACACTGGACCTCAGTCGTCAACATTTGAATGATCTCTATACAATCTTGGAATGTTAGTTTCTTTAGGCACATAAAGAATTTTTTTTTTTTAAATTTAGTAGTTAGGTTGAAAATATTACATCTCCAAAATTTGGGGTGCTGAAAAGATCATTGATTAAATTGTACCAGAGGGAATAAATAAACCATGTGCTCTTGCAATAACAAGAAATTTATTAGCTTAAAGAATTTAGAGACCCTACTTGACCTATTTGGAGCGTATATATATTGACTCGACAAGCGAAGCTTCTCGACCTAAACCCGAGTCAGTAGGAATCTAGTCGAGATAGATCTGATCCAAATCAAATTCCACCTAATGACCTGTTGGGTTAATCTCACTGGTTGATATTCCAGAAAACCAAATGGGAAAGTTTTATTGTGAAAGAGGAATTTACGTAAGGATGGGGAAAAACATGCAGTATTACTTTATGGTTCAATTTTTTTGATATATTACATTAAGGTCCAACTTTTTTTAGAGTTTTTCCATTTTTATTTTTTGTCTGCACTTTCAGACCGTCCAATGCACATAAATTTTGAAAGAACCGGGGCTTAATTGGTTAGCACTTGGCGATTTGCAAAGCCGCGTCCTAGGCTTGATTCCTACCAACCACTAACTCACCCTCACCCACAACACTACGTCCTAGGCTCGATTCCTACTAACTTCTAACTCATCCAAAAAAAAAATTGCCATGAGATGTCCATTCCCAAAATATCTTGTTTCTTGTCTCAAATTGAAGTTCGATTTGTACTACTGAACGGAAAAGAAAAAAAGAAAAAGAAACAAATAGAAAGACATTGAATCGGCTTGGCTAGGTTCGAATCACCAATTCACTGCATCAGCATCGACTAAAAGACTTTGTCTTTGGCCGAGGTGAGTTACTCGGTTGATTCCACATGATTCAGCCAACAAGGCAAAGAAAGCAAATAAAAAATTGAAGAAAAATTTAAATTTTCTTGTAAAACTAAAGTAAAATTCAAATAAACTTTAAAGAGTTAAAATAAAGTTAAAAATATAAAAAATAAATTAAAAAAATGATTTACAATTTAAGGCATTTAAATAATCCAAAAAATAAAAATACAGATTATGGTAGAAAAAATATCACTCATCTTTAACAAAAACATCTAAATTACATAAAAACATTATAAAGCCAGCTCGCTGTATTTTTTCCTTTTTTATATATATTTTTTATTTTTATATCCTGAATTGTATACACAACAAGGGGAAAGTCAGCCCAGGTACTCCGTGAGTCCACACGAGTCCGAGTGGACCAGGGCAAGTTACAACATATTGCACTAGATTCATTTTTTTTTCTCTTTTTTTTTCAAATTATTTGTTATTTGACTCTTGCTGAATTGGCTAAGCCGATTTTGGATTACAGATCCAATACGGTATTGCAAGGATTTTGTCCAAACCGGATTGGAGCCTCGGATCCTATTCGGTAGAGTGGGGAACGAATGTCAGGGCAATTTCTATTTTTGAAACGATAATTATTATCAACCGCTTTCACTAACATTCAATCTTCAAAGTTGATGTACCGTAATATGTATCATCATAACAAATTAAAAAAAAGAACATTTTATCTATTATGACGTAATATCAGTTTTCATGCATAAGTGTCTTGCTTCTCTTATCACTAGCATGCACGTCTCTCTCTCTCTCTCTCTCTCTCTCTCATCTTCAAGAAGGAGAAAAACATGTACATTGCAAATTAACTTTATTAATAAACAAATATAGACACAAGGAAGGCAGCATGTGCCCCTTTATTCCTCAAACATAGGATAATAAGAGGAAAATACAGTTTATATAAGGTCACAGTATCCCATGCCATGATGAGAGAGAGATAGTTATGTGACACATTCAGTTATGTACCCTGATATCAATTTTATGAAGCCTCAACAACTCAACTAAGGCTCGATATAAGCAGGAGATGGCTTCTTGTAAGGTGGTGGTGGCTTCTTATAAGGCGGTGGCTTTTGCACTGGCGGTGGTTTTTGGATAGGAGGAGGCTTTTGCACTGGTGGTGGTTTTTGGATAGGAGGTGGTTTTTGGATAGGTGGTGGCTTTTGCACTGGTGGCGGCTTTTGGATAGGAGGCGGCTTTTCCACAGGTGGTGGGCGGTAAATTGGTAGTGGCTTTTCCACTGGTGGAGGGCCGTAAATTGGTGGTGGTTTTTGGATAGGAGGAGGCATTTCAACTGGTGGGGGCCCGTAAATTGGTGGTGGTTTTTGAATGGGAGGAGGCTTTTCAACTGGTGGGGGGCCGTAAATTGGTGGTGGTTTTTGGATCGGAGGAGGCTTTTGCACTGGTGGGGGATGGTAAATTGGTGGTGGTTTT